ATTAACGAGGCAAGAGGAAAGGAAAAAATGGAGATACAACATGTGCGTGTTGCGAGTAAAATGAACAATGAGCTTCCACGCACGGTACGCATAAGACATTCCGGTATTAATTATATTTATCTCGAGTTCGGAGGGGGGGAAAGCATCTTTGCATGTGTCGCGATGACTTTCACACCAAAAGCGCAGCAAGGTAGGCAGGGTAGGTAGAATGAAATATTGACAAGTTATATAGGAGTTGATAGCGAGGGAATTTTCGTCGAAAACAAAAACTTATATACGTAGGAAGGCAGGCAGAACAATCGAAAAGTTAGCACTCGGTGTGCCTGCCGAGCGCTCGCTTGCAAGCTCCGACGCCGCCACTGCCGTTGCCGCTGCTGCTGCTGCTCTCAAAAGCCAAGCGTGCGGCAGGCAGGCAAACAAGCAAAGCGAGGCGGCAGCAGCAGGCTTTGCATAGATTTATCAATAATTACGTGCATGCACACGAGGCGTGCATATAAGCGTACGCGCGCATTGAGGAATTAGCCATATACGCCTCTGCTGCACACGCACTGCTCTCTCTCTCTCTCGCTCAACTAGTTATATAATATATACACACATATAGCCGCGAGTAGATATATGTGTATAGAGACGTCGGCGTCGCTGGCGAGCAGAGTCGGGCTGGCGGGTGGCGGCATCAGCGCAAGGATATAATGCCTAAAATTACAGAGAGGCGGAAGTGTAGAGCCCACGCGCGCCCGCCACCGCCGCCGCCATCGCCGCTGCTCGCTCGCTACAACTGGCATTTCGGCTTTTCGTTAGGGGGCTTGAGCCGGATGCTTATAACGCGCCGACGCTACCGACGCTTTAAACTTGCCGAGCTTGCAGCAGCATCAGGGAAAGAGAAAGAGCAAAGCAGTATTCTTATAAATCTCCCACGCTAGCTCGCACGCGCCATGAAAGTCTATTCAATTATAGAGCCACGACTAAACTAATTTCCCTTATAGTTTAACAAAGTGTATTATTTGACTGCGGGCCTTCCAGGCTGGGCTATTGTGGTTTTCAATGCTCGCGCTGAGCCACGGCGCTCGTAACGCTGCTGCTTTAGAAACGTATAAAGCGCGGAATTGTTCAAATAAGACGAATACGAAAATCTTGACACGGACGTGTCAGTGCAAGAAATTATTATTTTCATGAGCATTCGCAATCTCGGAAACAAGTCCCCTCCGAAGCTCCGACGATTCTGCCTTATATAGAATGCTAATTACGAAACTTTCTAACTTGATATTCATCGGCACTCATTTGTTATACATTTTGTTTCGTCACCTGCTATTCAGCTAATGTTAATGAAACAACTTGTCAAGTGCTCAATAGTCTTCATTTCATTTTTACACAATACGAATTTAAAGTCACACTTTCTGCGCGAATTTCTTCAGGAAGTAGAGATTGTTCGTTTAATTCATTTCCTATAATTAAGTGACGAGGGGTGGAAAGTCACTAAAAGCCGTTTTTACAACCTTATATGGTCTGTGTCTTTACGAGAGTTCGGCAAGCACTTGCATGTATGCGTTTGTATCTGACGCAAGTATAAACATGTACATGTATATAGCGCGCGCATAAAACAACAATTAGGTACGCGGCACGGTTACGGGCCCTAACGTACTCAAGTTGTTGCCTTTTTATGACCTTAAAAGGGTGCGCGGGCAAAAATTTTTACCGGAAGTGAGACGCGGTAGCCTATATCGCACGGAAACTTGGAGTATTACCTTTTTCCTTCTTTTTTATGAATAGTTGACAAAAAAAGTACTGCCTAACGTTCATACACGTTGTGAATATTCAAGTTGATCAAGTCAAAAATAATTAGCTTTTCGAGAAGTGTCATCAAACTTTGTTTGTTTTCGTTACTTTTTTGTCTTTTTCAACTTTCGGCTTTGGTGTTAGACAATAACGCCTTGAGTTTATAAAAAAAGACAAATTAATTATCGACTTTTTGACTTACACAAAATAAAGTAAAACAAGGGAGTTTTTTGGGCTTCGTTTCTGTGGAGAAGAGTCTAATTTGTAAAGCATATGACCTTTAAAGCGCCTTTATGAAACGAGACCGCAGGAGGTGAAACACTCTTTCGCCCTAGCAGCCTAGACCAACGGTGGTGGTGCTTAAAGATAAACTAGCTTGGCCGGGTCTACAATGATCTTTTCTTCTTGAACTTACATCAAAGGTTGCTTTACCCTTTTACGTATGTGTGTGTAATTTTTTTTGCTTTGGAGACTTTTTTCTTTCTTTTTTCTTTTTTGCACCTTGTGCTAGTACAATACTTTGAGTAACATCAAGGTCTCGAAATAAATTAGCATGAAATAATTGGAAAAAATTAAGTGCTCGAAAAAATAATAAGATAAGATAGGTGAATTTTACCGTAGTGGTTTTAGAAAATTTTGATAATCTAGCGAAGACGAAGAATAAATTATCCGGTAAAAATTGTACTTTGTACCGGTAATATATTTAAAGAAACCGAGAAAGTGTTGTTTAGCGACGAGTTTTACAATGCGAGTGGCTGTAATTCGTGGTCTCGTAGTTTCTTCGTGCAAGTAAACGAAGTATCTCTCCCTCGCCGGGTAGCTGTGGCGGACGTGTACTTGTCGTGGCGCGTTATCCATCCACGCACCCGAGATCCGAGCGCGGCCGCAGCCACATTATACATCTCTTGCAACTCAACCGCAAACGAGCGTATTTCCGAAATCCGGGTCGCACATCTCACAGCAGCAACAGCAGCCAGAAGCTCACTTTTAAGTTCCATAATATCTTTCGTCTTGCGGTCTGCATCATTATTTTTGTAATGCGGGCAGCATATAGGGATACGACGAGCTCTTCGCGCGTTAACTTACGAGCTTTCAACTAAGAGCCAGACAGATAAAACGAGTAGTTTTATTTTTATAAACAAAGCGCCGTGCGTCAGGGAAAATTTGCCTGCAGCATGCAGGCAGACTCCTGTCTCTCTCGGTTAGCTAGCTCAGATAAAAAAGTTTGGCCACGGCGCCGAGAGTAATACGCCGTGGAGAGTGAAGATCGGTGCGCTCATCAAAAATGCCAACTACAAGACCTATATATTCGACTCCTCTCTGGCGCCGCTGCTGCTGCTGCTGGACTTTGAAAATGTTCGCTAGGCAGGCATTCCCAAGCTGCTAAATACTTAAACAAGGCGATAATCGAGTTTTGCACAGGCGGACGGCCTGTGTGTAGGTATAAGGTAGTAGTTTCGCTGGCAGGCGGGTGTAGCGTAGGATATATATAAGCGCGCAGCCATGGCACAGCCCAGCCCAGCGCAGCTAACCAACCGACCGAGTAGTGGGATGAACAATGCACGACCTCGTTATGTACGTTTTCAGCCCTTTCGACGCGCTAAGCTTTCCCTTGCTACCATTTTCGTTTTCTTGAGCGTTTTAAGCCGCGCCGCAGACCGCATTAACGGCATTCATACAGCGACGCGGTACCTTACTGCAGCCCAGGCCAGGCAGCCGACTTACGATTACTTTTTTTTCCTCCTTTTTTTTCAGCTCGTCCGACTCTCTCTTTCTGCGCTCTGGCTATATATATATATATACACGTATATATATACGTGCCTCGGAATTTAATGCTCGTAACTTGCCGGTAAAGGAGATTTGACTCAGTGCGCGCGCGAGAAGGGAGGGCAAATCGCTAGCATTGCGCGCTAGCTGTGCGTGTTAATCTCTTCGACACGGACCGTTTAGATTTACATGGGAAAAGGGATTATAAATGTTTTCTGTCGTTTGAAATTGCTCAAAGTGAAGAAAGATTCTCCCGGGAATAATAGTTATCGCTTATACATAAGACTTTATAGATTTTGAGCCGCGCGGCTTCGAGCAGCTTTTACCAACTTATTGGTCCGTATAGCACGCCTACGCGATCACGTATACCTATAGGCGGCCCCCGAGTGAACTCGCGCGCTCGAAACTTCTGCGTTTCCGAAACTCCAGTACTCCATATACTTTCTATACTTTCGATGAAGTCGCGTAAATATGCACGTTTACTTGAGGGTAGAGGAAAAGCTGTTTCCCCGCTGTTATGCTGGCGCTTCGTGCCGTTTCATGATCTCCGAGTTCGCTGCTGCCGGTGTGCGGCTATGTTACAACGTTATACACGAGTATGGTTGCTCTGCAAGCTCTGTACGTGTCACGAGCCCATCGGCTATTATAACTTTTTGTCGAGATATCGACATAGTTACGCAGGCTACGCATGAACATTTTGGTTAATATTGAAGCTCCGCGCGAGGTTCTCTCATTTCGAGCTTGTATAACTCGAGCATAAATAATGTACGAGTTCTGAATGTGCCAAATATCCTTAAAATTAGAAAACTTACTTAGCTTTTTGCTATAAATACTAAATTTACATTTTATCAAGGCGGTAAATACTCGCTATCGCGTCATTATTTTGTCCTGGGCATGGATAAACAAAAGCAAAGACTAAGCAATAATTACGAGAAATACAACAAAGCACGTTTTCCGTCAGTAAGATCGTAACATGTATTTGCGTTGATCGAGAGGTCGGAAAGTCGGTTGTAAGCGAGCCCTTGACAGGGTCGTTTATAAATAAGCCAGTTCCTAATTGTGTATAACGCACGCCCCGTAAGTTGGGTTCGTGGCAAAGGGTCTGTATTTTGATTATCTTGACGCAATAGCCGTCGGCTAGCCGGGTAAATACGCTAACGTCGCTAATTTTCCTTTCTGCTCTTTTGTTTACATTTTCAAAGCTTTTCAGCGAGGTGTAGGTGTAGCGGCGCACGCACACGCGTGTCGAGGAAAACGAGCAGTCGCACACGAGAATCGCACATGAAAGGGTATCAAAAGGTGTCAAGATAAATTGAAAGGCTCTGGGCGTAAAATAAACTGAAAGTTTCGCGTGCAGCTAGCTGCTGCGCGTGTATACCGAGTCTATATACGTGTACAACATGGTGGAGTAGGTAGTGTATATAGTAGTAGTAGTAGTAGTAGTAGTAGCGGCTACTCACATTCGACGTGTTGGCAATGGCGTTGGTTGGACTTCCGGCAGCAACGCTGTGCGTTTGGTCAGTCTTGAGCTCGCGGTGATTGCTAAACTGCACGTAAACAGCCCTATTTCGCAATTGCGCCGGACACGAGGTGTAGTAGCTGACCATTGTAGCTGCTGCTCCTTCATCCGCCATCTCCAAGAAAGCCTGAAAAAGTAAAATTGGTTTTTATCAAATTTAGTTTATTTTTATATATTTTTTTTATTTGACTCGGATATTTTTTAATGGCAAAGCATATATTTTGACACGAGGAATCGTAGCACCAGGGCGTGCGTACATACAAAGGGTCATTTTTCACTCAACGTAGTACAAAATTAGCCTGGTAGTTGTTATTAATTATTTTTTCTTCATCCCATGCTCGAAAGTACGTACTTTCATCTTCGCATTCGGGGACGAAAGTAATACTTTTGCTCCCCGTCAATATCGCGCGAAAGTTATTATCTCCATGACTACGGCAACCTACATTTCAATTATCGTTTGGTTTCGACTATGCAATAGATGAATTATATTCACTTTGTTTATGACGTACATATGCCAAATTGAATAAATATTAAAAGACTAACAATTCTATGAAGTATCAAAATTGAATAGCCATAATTTGACGTGCACATTTCATTCCATTCAATTCCAATGCGAAATTTAAATCGTTAAAGATGATAGTTGCAATAAAAAATGAGATCTAAGAGAACAAAGACAGTCAAAATATGTTAATTTTTATAATATATTTTGAAAAATTCTTTCAACTTTAAACGTTATTCTAGGTCTCTCAAGTTTCTACTTGTCTACCTCAGATTGAGTGAATTACTTAATGGATATGGTACTAATTCATGCTTATACTTTACGGGATCGTTTGTATTTTATTAACGCCATAGTTATCTATGATTTACAATTGTTTATTAATAATATTAGTTATGTACTAATAAACATTATTATTGATGATATTTTTTGCAAAGCCCGCCGTCGACCAGCAGCCCTCGCTGCGCTCGGGCCGCAAATGTCGGCGGGCTTTGCCATGTAAGCGTAAATTCATGGATACAATTTTTTTTAATAAAATATTTCTTAACTATGTTAAGCAAACGTACTTTCAAGCGGGGATAAAGAAAAATCGTATACGCGACTCGGGACAAAAGTCAAACGCCTGTCTCTGCGAGCTTGCACCCTCGGCTTCGCCTCGGGTGCATAACCTCGCAGGGACGGAAGTTCGACTTTCGTCCCTTGTCACGTAATATACTATTTGTCTACCGCACCTAAGCGCGAAAAGTGTCAACTGCTGCAGTTGCACAAGTCATTTAAGACGTCGCTCAAGTGTATACACACACACATACACGTATATAGGGGAGTTGAACGTGCAGCGCGCGACAACAACGTCGACAACGACTGATTCTCGTCGCCTCATCTTTTTGCTTCAAATTAACGTGTTCGCTGACGCAGAAGGAGGCGCACACCTACCTAAAGCATCAACGGAAACGAGGTTAACGCACGCGACTTCTCGAGTATACACGCGCCCGACTCAAAAGCTCCGGGGGTAATAGTCGTATAGCTATATACATTATACACCCGCAGCATAAGTAAGAACGTTACTAAAGCGCGAAATTCATCGCTGGTTGTAAAAAGAAAAAAATAAGGAAAGGTTTCTCGCACCCAACCGAACTGTTAAAAAACATCTACAATTGCAATAATCGAATGTGCGTGCGGGAAATGTTATTAATTCTCATGATAGATGCGTGGAGATTATGTAAACAAAAACATCGAGTTTATGTAGCGAAAAGCTGCACCAGAATTAATCTCGAATAGTCGAGGCTAAAGCTGCCTAACGAGCTAATTGGCCAACGAGAATTTCAATTAATGAATCAACGTTTAAAAAATGAGTTTTCAAGAGCTTTAACGTACAGCAAATGAACACAAATGATATAATCTGTAAAGATAAATGCAGAAAAGAAATATTATATAATACAATGGGGAATAAAGAAGTCCAAGCAAATTGCCGAGGCAAAAAGCTTTGCTCTACCTCCCCCTCTTTTTTGCTCTCTCTCTTTCTCTCGCTAGTCTCTCTCTCCCTCACCGTTAAATATATATTTACGTAAAGCCAAGCCAGAGGCTTTATTTGCAAGCGCGAGCAAACGCGCGCACGCGGCCTGCTGTGTAGCCCCCAAACAATTCCACGATTTATAATTAAAAAACGTGCCGTTGCATACGAAAACGAAGAAGAAAACGATTCTACATTCTCGAGTAATGGTAGTAGCAATAGTAGGCGGTAGCGCAGAAGATACACGCGAACACCGGGAAATAAAGAGCGGCGCTTAAAAATTGATATTATCCGGCTAACTAGAATTCATATTACGGTAACTGAGCTCGTGAAAAGTGAAAAACATGCCGAATGAAAAAGAAAAAAACAAGCGAATTGCAGCCGGTATTATTCGTTTGAAGATTCCACGAGGTGTCTTACTTGCGCACAGCAGCCAAATTCACAAGCGGCAGGAAACCAAATAAAAAAAACTTTATTTGTTTCTTTCAACTGGCTATTTCGAAGATTCTGTCTGTGAGACTTAATAAAAATGGAGAGCTGGCGTACAAGGCAGGTTAGCTTGTACTCAAGAGCCTGAGTAAAATGAGAGAGAAGGAAAAAGAGAGATAGAGTAGTAGCGCGCAGTAAAAGTAAAAAAAGATGGATGTGCTGCTTGTATAAGGCTTAGCCGTTTATTACTCCATGGAAAATCGAGGCTTTAGACCTGATCGTGAAAAGAAAGAGTGTATCTTGAAAAATGATTATCCGTATGCGCAGCAGCAAGAGGAGCAGCACAGGCAGCACACGGCCAGGCGGCGCTCGATGCCAACGAACTTGATCCTACGGCTAAAAGAGCATCTGAGATGAAACCTAAAAAAGCGTTTCATCGGAAAGAGGCAACGCGCGTGCACTAGCGAGCGAACGAGCGCGTTTTTTAATCATTTGAATCGCCTCACTGAATAAGAACGCATCGTCGAGTGTAGAAAAATGTCTCTTACATGCGTCGCTTTGAAAATAAAGCAGTCGATAATTGTTTTTCCTCGGCCCTTTTTTGGTCCAACTTTTTTTGAGCTCGAATTAAATTTTATCATCGTCTAGAATCTCTGTAATAAAAGTATCGTTCGAGTAAAAAAAAAAGAAGAAAGGCTCTCGCGATTAACTTTTTTTTTTTGCAAAAGTTTTTTTCAGCTTTGCTTGGGGACGAATTTATGACGGTAAAGACAAAGTCCCGTGGCACACTCATTTTACCGATTAACTTGATTTTCACTCTCGACTTCGTCCCGGTTAGGGAGCTAGTGAATAGAGGCGGCACGCGGCCGAAGAGCGGCGTCAGGCAGGCAACAGCGTATAGCAGCAGCGGCGGTGGCGGCAGCAGCGACAACAGCGCGCGCTCCTACCCGACTGAAGTCCAATTTCCGCCGAAATGCAACTACGATGGAAAATCATCAGAGAGCTCGATGTGTATATAGTAGTCGTCACAGTCATTTTTTTGTGTCCCTACACTTCATGTATTTTTGAATGCATGAAGTTCCTTTCTTTCTCTTTTTTTTTTTGTTCAAAAACACGTCAACGACAACGCACCGAAATATTCATCGTACGACACGGTGAATCAACGCAAATTGAACAAAATTATGACGGATGCATGAAGAGAAGATACAGAGAACTGTTTAGGGGGTACCGGGAGTAAAATTTCATTCTGTAAATTGATGGATTGACGAATTGAAACATTATGACAGCATTTCAACTACTGATGGATCGATTGTACGTTCTATGAATACATTCATCACAATCTACACGCATGTCAGTATTATTGAAAATTGACAATTTTTATATTGCAAACAAAAATATTGATCGTCTGGCAAAAGATCTTGTGTTACCGATCTAGTTTACAGTTGTTTTATTATTCATTTTGAAAACAAATGAATCCAATGAAACATCATGTTTGACAAACCCGATAACAAATTTGTACAACAAAAATACATCCATCACTGTATCGTACAACAGTGATTAGAGTATTTTTTACGTCTGTTTACAGAGGCAAACGAGGCGAGTAATTTTTCCCGTAAAAATCAGCAGTAAATACGCAGAAAGCAATCACTAGCCCATTTGCTTTTGCTCTCGTTTTGCTCTCGTTTCGCGGCGGTGACGGCGGCGGCGGTCGCGCATGCGACAAATCGGGAATTGTGCCATCGCGTACTATACCGTACAGCAGGGGCGCGCGCGCGTGAAAGGGTACTAAACTTCGTTAGCTTTAGCACGCGCGCGTGCCGTTTTCATCGTAATGACGAGCGCGCCTGCACACATCGACGACGACAACGACGACGGCGGCGGCTGCGAGGAGGGCGCGCGCGCATTTTGAAAGCGAGTGTTGAATTACGTTGGCGCGCGTGACACGACGAGGCACATCGTGCGTGTGTGCGCGCCAGTTCGCTCGATGCATGCTTAAACGAGGCCTCTCGCGCCTCGTGCGTTTCGCACGACAATCGGGCACACCTTACGTATGCGGTTGGAGGCCTATTTACAAAATATGCGCAGACGGGGTAGCTTTTGCGCCGCGTCAACGCGGCAGTTGGTAAAAGTTTGCAAAGTAAAATATTCTTCTTGGTTCGATATCAGGGGGAAAAACATTTTCATTCAAAAATAGTATGTTAACGACTACCGAATATAAATTTTCAATCTAGCGATCTATAATTACGTTTTTACATTTATACATTTTTACGTATTAGGAGAAAAAAGCTTTGCGTTATACTTATCCATGCTTGTAGTTTACACGAATATTTCAAATAATACTAAACTCGCCTCTTATCTAAGGCAGAGCCTTAAAAAAACTGCTCTAAAACCCATTTTTACTCTGCTCTTATATTCAGCCTTTACTTACTCACAAAAATGGAGCATAACTTTTATGAACTTATTTCACGTTAGCAGTGAAAAATTTTTCTGAAGCGTAAAACAAGCTCGCTCGTATTTTCGGGGAAAACTTTTTTCATTCTTAGAATTTTTCTGAATGTTACACGCTCGTTTCATGAAACCATTCGCATGAAAACTGTCAATGTAATTGGCGGCTGATCAAGGTTGCACGTTAAAATTCGACGTTTGTTAAAAAAAGTCGATCAGTGCTAAGGAAAAAAGAGAATTGTAAAAC